GGAAAAAAAATACCAGCATGTCAGAGGTTTAAAAAAAATTGCCTGTTCTTTGGTGTGGAAGTGTTTTGATGTTGTGATATGGTTTTTATCACCTCTGTATATGCAGGGTCCGAAATTGCACTGAACAGGAAAAAACGGAGCTTTTTACAGATCTAAAGTGTGGGCCAAGCTGTGGACTCTATAGCATTTTAGGATTCTTTTCAACCAGAAAAAAATGATGGTTGTGGGTGTTCACTGGCTTTTCCCATAACGGGTTGATGCTGGGAGCATCAGTAACCTACACTGCTACCTGCTGTTGCATATTAAGACAGCAGTTTTGAAGAGTGCTCACAAATGAACACGTGCTATTTTCCTCGCCACCAGCTCCCCGTCATCCTTCCCACCCCAAAAGAAAAGACTTAACTGCAGCTGTAAATGGCAGAGTCTTATTTGCAAAGGCATTAACTAGCCAGCTTGACATTGCATCTCCAGAGTACCTTTTTAAAAAGGCATTAGATGCATTTATATCGTCTTGAGCTTCAAGAAATGCCATCTGACCCCGAATTAGAATGAATTGCTCCTCTGTTTCCAAAAGCACGGGTAAGCTGAAAGGGGGGGTGTTTACTGTAGAGCTCAGACTGTCCTGTACTCTCATTGTGCGCACAGAGCGGTGTGATTTGAGCCATTTTATTTTTGCTGGCAAAACTTCCTGCTTTTTTACCTTGTCTTTGGACACGATCTTAGTATACTCCTTAAGCAGGTGATGGCCCCACTGATTTGAATGGGGAATTTTATTGCCTCGGGAGCACGTGTTTGGTCTCTGTGGTAGTCTAGCAACAAGATGAATAAATTATTATGTGTAACTGTTGTGTATTATGATGATGATGATTAAAAAAACCCCGACTTGAGCCAGGTTCTGTCCTTAAATGTAACTTCAGTGAAGTCAACAGGACTCTGCTGGTTTCAGTGGACTCGCTCCAGACGTGCATCGCTGCGACCGAGAGCTGAATTTGCCATCAGTCAGGTTTGTCATCTCCCACTTTGTTTCATGACTTAGAGAAACGCAGAGGTAGGATAAGATGCCTCCCAAGAGGCTGTTTGCTTCATACACCTCTCAGACCTTTGCAAATAAAAACTTCTCCCCTCCTTGACTCAGTTTCCTAAAGCAGCTTTCTGTTGTCTTGTTCTGTATTTATTGTACTTCTCCGTGTGAATGGACTGAAGAAAATGTGCGTGAATTTAAAGTATTTGAACCCATTTCACTTGGTTTGTACATTGTTGGTTTCACCAAACTGAATATCAGCTTGCAAAATCTGTAATAAACTAGTGAAATTATTTGACACCTGACTGTCAGTGTACTTTTTTTTAACTTATTTGGCAAAAGCTTACGAGGCCTCATTCTTCTTAACAAAACCCAAGGATGGAGGTCCCAAGGAGTTCACCAAAAAGACACGAGCCTCCAAATTCAACTACAAGGGCTGCATAGGCATTTGGTGAAGGGCTGATCATAGGAAGACAGAAGAGCTCTCGATTGTATAAATGTATATACATTACAGCAGCTGCTGAAATGCCTGCCTGAACGCAGACCTGCTCTTTGACTTGCCCTCCCTCTACCAGTTTTTTTGTAGAAATTCATGGCTTGCTTCCCCTACGTTCTTCCTTGTTTAATTGAGCTTGCTGAAAGGTGGTGTTGGTTTCCCTGTAGTGTTTTTCTCCAGGTAGGACGGTGATGCCTAAAACTGCAGTGACAAAAGAAGAAAGAGCCTGTGTTTTCCTTTGGGTATTTTTACATCCTTGAAGTGAAGAACGTTTGATCTACATATCTGGTAAGGCTAAAGATCTACGGCTTGACCCTGCCCCCTATCCCTCTCCATAGGTGCACCCAACCAGTCTTCCTGCAACCATCTAACTGAAATGTTTCTTCATTACACAGCAGCCATAAATGTAGCAGATCTGATCTCGTTGAAATTGCCTCTAGCATCACCTGTTGCCCACCTCTCATTTAATGGGGGGCAGGGAAGTGCACAAGGGTGCAAAGGTCACACTTGCACCTACTGTCTCTCCCCCCATCCACAAAAAAATCCCCTTAGTTTTCCCAAATGGAGTTCAGAATCAGGTCCATCCTTTTCATTATGTCCTGCACTTTAAGTCACCTTGCACCAGAGGATCTGTGAGCTATTTGTGGAGTCGTGTTAATTCTTAGGTAATGCTGTTGAAGTTAATGGTTTTTACTGGAAAGGCAGGATCATTAAAGCACATGGGATCGGGAGTTGGATTTACCCTATGGATGATCTTGGAAATAAACAGAAGGTTGTCACTGGGGGTTCACCATCCCCCAGAAAACAATTTCTCAAAATCTGTGTGTTGGTTTGGTTTGGTTTTTTGCAATTAGGAAACCTTCCAGCACAACCAGACAACCACAGACTTGGTTGCCCAAAGTCACAAAGTGAGTCGGTGGCAATCGGAGTGGGACCCAGACCTAGGTCTTGCTCCTAGGTAATTGCTCAGACGGTTGTAACTCATTTTAAGAAAATTAAAATACCATGGGAGGTAAAACGGCAAAGATTGCAAGTGATCCCTTTTAGGCTAACTTTATTATGAACCATACTGGGTTTATGGGGCAGTTCTCATAAAATAATATTTTCTAAAGAGCTGATGGTTTTATGTGGTTTATTCAATAACCAAGAATAAAGAGAAATACTTGTTTTGTGCAACAGTTCAGAAAAGACTGGCTGTATAGTATTTTCTAAAGGGACAAAACTATATTTTTACTGCTTTTAAGAGGTCATTTCTTTTGGCATTTCACACAGGGGTAATGTTGGATGTGTGGCTTTTTATAGGTTGCTTTTATTCGGAAAAACTCCAGGTTTTGAACAGCGGTACAGCTAAACTGACACTTGTATTAACTGTTTTTAATATACCAATACACTGAGAGAATATGATAAGGGGAGCTAAATTATACATTTTTTTAAGTTTACAAAAGCCAGTTTATCCTTAATTTCTTACCTATAAGCAGAAGCCTCTAAATACAACGACTAGGCAGTGTTTCTAGAGAGGTTGCTTTCCAAAGAGTGATCTTTTCAAATGAAATTTTAAAGCAGCACCAGTGTAAAATGTCATTTCTTAAGGATACGTGCTAATGAGGAAACATTTTTTGGATTGTTGTTTTTCACCTGATCCTGAAGTGGCGAATGTCCTGTTGTCTGAGCCCCACATTTGTAAATCCACCCACCAGAACTTGATGCTCTCTTTATGAGCCAGTGTTCATAGGGAGGTAATGAGCAGACAAATCGGCGAAGTACATAGAAAGCTGCCCACGGAAAGTGAAAGCGGTGGGATTGCTGCTGAAGAGGTGCAGAGATCAAGTGGCTCAATGCTTTCTCCTGATGGCAGCAGATGGGTTGCTTTGCGTCTGGAGGCCTTTGGGACTGAATACATGCTCCTATGGGGCCACTTCATCATGGTGTCACTCTCCTCTCCGCGTCTTTTCCTTTCTACTTCCCCAAGCCTCGCAAAAGAGGGAGAGAAGCTGCAGCATCTTAACTCCTATATTATGCTATGAACAAACCTCCTAAAAGACTGTGTTGCTGTTTATTCAGGAATTAACATTCGGTAGACCCTTTCCTTAGGGAGCTTGAAGCTGTTGTTTCACAGAACGGTGGGAACTATAGTTAGCATGGGATCTTGTACTAACATGCCGGCTTTTCTTAGCCTAATATTTTTAGGACCACTTCCATGCAGCCTAGTGCAGTGGACTGCAGTTCTGCCATTGGTAAGCCGCCTAAAGATGCGTTTTTAGATTTTAGATCAAGCCTGTTGCATACATTGAGGATGACAGCTCTATGGAGATGGAAAATATTGCTAGCGCAGTCATGGTGTGGTGGAAGCTAATAAATGTGCAAAATTAGGCTTTGGAAAAAAGGTTAAAATTGAAATGCTGGGCTCTTGAGAATCAGGCCGCTTGTTCCCAAGTCTAAATATAGTCTTAGGAGCTGAACTTTTAGACGCTCGCTTTCAAAAATCTTAAGCCAAGCTCTGAGCTTCTCCATGTGTTTTTGGCTGCAAAGGAGTCTGTTTTGCGATTTGAAATGGGCCAGCGGCAGAAACGTAAAGGCACAAAATATCTGCCCCCGTTTCTCCTTGCAGCTGTGGACAATGTGAGAATGCTCTGTTAGCAGCAAGGTAACAGATGGCGTAAGAGTCCTGGTGACCATGGGCCCTGTCTTATTGAGAAGGGGAAACAATACCGCGCAGATCTTAGCATGTGCCACCCAACAGAGTCCCCGCACATTGTCGCAGCCCCAGTGCAAAATCCTAATTCCACGCTTAGGAGCGGCAGAAAAGAGCCTCACTCTCTCAAACCTGCAAAAGAGCAGCTCCCCATGTCGCTCATTGAAAATATGGAAAGGGCAATGCATATAGAAATCTAATTATTGGCCGGCGCAGCCCTGCTTTTAGCATGATAATCGCAGGGTCCTCCAGCTTTCTTGTGCAGGGACCCCTGAAAGGTAATCATGAAAGCAAAAGTTAAAGCTATTGAATTCCCATCCATCATCCGATGTTTGCTTTGATTATGTTGACACGATTTTTTTTGTCGGCCCCCAAATTGCAGTGAGAAGCTGTTATTAATCACTTTAAAATGTTTTTTTTAAGACAAAGGTGGATTGTCTCCCTCGTTAGCAGGAAGGGCTGAGAAAGGACACTTGGGCTGATCTGGGGGTGGCTGTAGATTCCCCCCCCCCCGCTCCACAATCCCCATTGATTCCCCATTGCAGCAAGGGGAAGGGCCGGCTGGCAAAGCTGGGAGGCAGCTGATTGTTTGGCTGTGGCCAGCAGCTACATGCCCTGACTTGTGCTGGGTGCCCAGGCCAAGTGCTGGGCAGAGGGGCGAGCTTCCCTCCGAGGGGCTGGGACTCCGGTCCCTCCACCCCCAGAGAAGGGGGGTCTCCTCTCCTCTCCTCCCTCGCATATAAAGCAGCAGCCCGGCAGCCCCTCTGCCCCAGGAGGCGGCACAGACCCCCATGGCCCGCGGGCTGCTGGCCCTGCTGCTGCTGCTGCTGCTGGACCTGGAGCCTGAGCCCAGCGGCGCCGACTACTGCAGCTGGAAGGGCAGGTGAGAGCATCCCCGGAGCACCCCTTGCCTTGGCTGCCCCCTGCTCGGGTCTCGGAGAAATTCAGCTCCAGCCCTCGCTTTTCTGTTTAATCTTTGGGCTGAAATAGCAGGCAGAGCGGTGCAGGTAGGACCTTGGGAGCCGGGGGGGGCGGTGCTGAGCGCTCGCACCCCCTTGAAGTCCTGCTCCACCAAACCAGCTGGCAGCGGTCCTGTGCAGGGCATCGGTTGAAACCCGCCTGAGTCCTTCCGAACTTTTCCTTCTGCAGGTGTCAGTGAGTTCCTCTCCTTTTTTCCTAGTCTAGCCCAGTGTTTCCCAACCAGCGCGCCATGGATTTTTGCCAGGGCAATGAGCTACCATAGGTGTGAGGATGGGGGAGTGCCTTCACAGGGAACATTTTTATTAATGGAAGTGTGCCTTGGGCTGGAAAAGGTTGGGAAACACTGGTCTAGTCCAGCCAGCCTTTCTGCTGCAGCTGCTAGCTCTGCTCCCGGCTGTTTTGAACTCATTCTAGTAAAATGTTATTTGTCTTTGCTTCAATCTTCACCCGAATAATACAGCCCCAGGCCCCCAGCGTATTAGTAAAGCTTTGCGTTTCTTTTGACCTGGAGGAAGATGCGTGTCATTGTGCCATAGGTGATGGTGCACCTCCTGTTTTTAAAATCCCAGATCCACCCGTGTTAGGAACAGTCGTGTAACAGTGTTCACACTGGAAGGGATTACCTAGCTGGGTGGTGATACCTCCAGCACAGGCAGTGTTAAAAGGCAGGTGAGAGAACACTTGTCTGGGAGGGTGTAGATAGAGACAATCCTGTCTAAAGCAGGGGTTTGGACTATACGTTCCTCAGTCCCTTGCAGTGCTATTTTTCCATTACTATCTGTGAATGTCAGAGAATAAACTTTGAAAATCTTGAAAATCTCCAATTTCATAGACATTAGGGCTGGAAGGGACCTTGGAAGATCTTCGAGTCCAGCCACCTGAAATATCATATGTTTCAATAATATTTTTTGTTATCATTTTGACAGGAAAATGCAAGTTGCAATTTTCACAGACAAATGTGTTTCTTTTCATGACCACCTCTAGTAATGCAGGTCCTGGTGTCCAGAAAGGAGTCTAATGAAAAGTAACTGCACTGGAGTTAATGAAGTTGTGCTGATATAAAACTGGAAATCTTTGATAGGAAATAGCTCTTCACTATTAACTTCGGGTAACGTTCTTAAATGTGCTTCAGTGACTTAAGTTTCATATTCGCAGTGGCTTACAAGTGTAATATTTCTCCCACTGATGTAGTGGGAGATTTACCAGTTGGACTGGACTTAGGGCAATGCCGAGCACTTTCGACAACTCCACTGAAAGTCACTATTGAAAGTGGAACCGAGGCACTTTTTTTTTTTTTTTTTTTTTTTTTAATTTTACCTTGTCTTCTACCACATAGGTTACAGCAAAATGTCCTTTCCCTGAGCAGCTGCCACTTCTTTTGCGGTGGGGAAAATAACTAAATGCAGTGATAATTGATAATACAGTCTGGTCACTATAGTCTCTGCTTTGCCCAGGTTTGCAAATTGCTGCAAACAGGACTAAACGCACTAGAGAACAGGCTACAGCCGGGGTCTCCAACCTTTTTAAGTAGATCACCTTTGGCATTTAAAAGCAACCCAAGATCTTCTGCATGCTGCTGCACTCCACCCCTCCATCCCCTGCCCAGCAAAGTTGGGAGTGGGGGCAGATCTCAGCAGAGGGAGAAAAAGTTAGTTGAGAGCATGCCTCCCCAGCAGGTAAGTCCCACCTGCCCGGGGCCCCACTCAACTTACCCCTGCTCCTGCCTCTGCAGCGCTGTTCCTCACCACGGGGGCCTGGATCTAGCCCCCATGGACTGATCTACTGGGCTGGGGCACACACGTGCGTGCATGCGGGCACTCAGCCCCGCCACTCCAGCCTCGGATCGACTCCAAAAGGCTCCCAGATCTACCGGTGGATTGAGATCCACTGGTTGGTGACCACCGAGCTACAGGGAGCAATCCCATGCTGGTTAGGAGGTCGAAAAGTAACAAGGGACGGACCATTCAGCCTGCCTCTAATTTCTGAGGCTTCTTGCTGTCCCTATTTCACGGAGAAAAAAAAGACAAGATTTTGTTCGATGTTATTTGTGCAAAACGCTCAGATTCTCAGCTGAGATGGGCCCCCGGTGTCCAAAGCACTGCAGATATTAGCACAGGCAGAGACAGTCCTTGCTTGGAAAAACAGGCTAAATACGTGAGACAGACAAAGCCTGGGGAGGAAAACAAAGGTGAAATGGCCTAAAATCATATAGTCAACCAGTGATAGAGCTGGCAGTCAATCCAGGTCTCCTGCCTCCCAGTTGAGTGCTGTCTCCATGGTGTTTTGTGCATTATAAGTCGTGTATTTCCCACTTTATTTTGGCAGCGGTTTGAGCTGGGAGCCCCGATCCCGCACAGTGGAGCAGGTCCACCTGCGCTGCACCGAGGGCTCGCTGGAATGGATGTACCCGGCGCGTGCCCTGCGTGTCGTTCTGGAGCCCAACCTGTCGAGTGCCAAGCACACCACCGTCTGCATCAAGCCAGCGAGCAACTTCCAGGGTGCCAACATCTACGTGGAGCGCGCGGGGCAGCTGCACCTAGTGGTGAGTGAGGCCGAGGAGACATGGCTGCGCCACGTGTCCTGCTTCAGCGCCCACACCCCACAGCGGGTTGCCCTCTTCCTACAAGCCAGCCCGCAGAGGGACATCAGCCGCCGGACGGCCAGCTTCCAGTACGAACTGCTGAGCAACCAGAGCACTGCCGGCCCCGACATCCAGAAGATGGCACTCGTGGAAGGTAAGGCTGGGACTTCATATATTGCCCCCATCCTCCAGACGGGTCTGTTGAGGCCTCTGCAGGAGAAACCCCCAATGCCTGTCCCTCCCTCTGCTGCCTTGTTAAAGCTGCAATACTGACAAGGGAGATGGACACGATACTGCAATCTAGGGAGCGAGCTCTGCTTCATGCTCCAAGTACTGTGCAAGGGGAAACTCTCCTGACTATTTATCACCTGATTCAAATCCTGGGCGTTTGAGCAAGACTTGTTAGAACCTAAGAAGCAATATTTCCTCGAGCACCAAAGGGACTTTGCTGCCCCAGTCCTGCTTTCAGTCCTGCGTTCCCGCATTTAGATGCTGTTGGAAATTTGATGCTGCATCTGTTCCTGTGTCTGAAAAAGGCTCCCTTTCCATTAATTACTGGGGGTCAGATCCACAGGCCACTCAGATCACTGGGGAATCTTCCCAGTTCTGTGCGATCGGGACCCCAGCCCTCATTGGGAGGGACAACCGCAAAAAGGAGCACGGGAGTGTGATCCAACCCACAGAATCCACTGGGCGCTGGCCAGGTCTCAAAGAGAGTATTTGATCTACTGCAGAACAGCAAAAGGCTGAGTGCAGGTATCTGGGGCTAGGCAATTAAAGCAATCGCAGCACTTTTCAGCTGGTCTCTCCCCTTTGGTGGTTGCGCAGGGTCTCTGTTCTCAGGAGGAGGCTTAGTAGATCTTCGTTGCTGCTAGCGATTGGGATTTGGAGAATAATTGAAGGTATCCTCTTATTTTAGAGTATGTTTGTAAATAGGTTACCCAGTGCCTGAGGAGGACACAGGGTTCAAAGACTGAGATCACACATTTTATAAAGGACCTGAAAGCTTCCGAACCCTGATTTAAAATGTCAGTGTTTCAGTGTAATACTTTCTGCCGCTCTGTCCTACAAGAAGGATGCTGCAGCTTTCCAAGCACTGGCCATAGCAGGAGGTGGGCAGAAGAGGTTACAGAACTGCTAAGGGTTATAAATGTAGCAACAAGCTCCTTTTAGCGCTGCATCCTAGCATTGCAAAAATCCCAGTAGCATTCATCTGGGAACGAATTAGGATTTGGGCTTAGCAAAAACAAGCAAAAAAATCACACTAAAATTGTTAACATTTTCAAGCATCGCAGTAGATGGAGGAGCAAAGCACGTGTTGCATGCTGCTCTGTTCCACTGATCAGTCTAAGGAAGGGCTTTAAGATGCTGTGGTAGCAAAGGGTGGACCCAAGAAATCCGTCCTAGTTCTAGGTTTCTATTTCTTCAATTGTGTATGTATAGTAAAAAAAAATGATTTTGGGTCTGACCCAAAGCCACTGAAATCAAGATATCAGGTCCACACCCCTTTGGATCCGTCACTAGCCCGTTAGGAATAATCATTGTATTTATAAGTAACTGCGTCCCTTCTTTTTCAGCGATGTGCCGCCCTTGTGATGACATGGAGCTTCTCATGGCCATTTGCAGCAGTGACTTTGGTAAGCAGACTTTCATTTCATAACGTTGTGACTTCCTTTGCTGCCACTTTGAATACTTCAATCTTTCTGCTTCCTGGTGTCAGAGCCTCACTGGCTTGTGTCAAAACAGTTTGACGGAGCGAAAAAAATGAAACCTTAAAAAAGAAAAAGGTGGTTGAGGAAAGGGTGAGGGCAAGCAAAAGGGAGGGTAAGCACATTTCTCTCCACCCACACTACACGCTCTCTCACACTAGTCCAGAGAGGTTTGCTTGAATCATTGTATCAGCTGATTTCTTGCTCTTGTATTCTTTATGTGTACACACACACACATACTATTTTTTGCCTCCACCAATCTGATTCTGCAGATGAGCACAAGTTTATTTTTTTTAATTTTTTTTTTGTCCCCTAACCTGCTGTCATTTTAAAACTGTTGTGAAGAAATTAAAGTGATCCTTGTGAGGTCCGTTCCCTGCTAGTTTTGCTCTAGCTCTGCTTGCTGTACCCTTTATTAAACCTTCCAGAAGCAAATTCAATTTACACAGATTTTATTGGTAAAAACAAATTCTAGGGACCTGCCCTTGCACTCACTGGAGTCAGCGGCACCTAGCCGTCCTGTTTCCTCCCAGAAAGGTTCCTTAGCCCTGATAAGCTGAAGGGCCGATGCCTTGGAGCTGGACTCACATTTAAAACGGTACCCGTTCTCCCATGGCAAAATCACCTATAACTTTATAGATGTCCTTTGTCCATCCTGATCCCTCTTTTCCTAACCGTTCTCTCAGTAGTGTAACGCATGCACACATGTACATACGTGTAATGGGAACAGAAGGAGTCAATTGTTTCTGATTTAGTCCATTTGTATGAAATGATTTATAGTTGATTAATGGAGCACTCTTTCAGGCACATGCATTGGAAGAAAGCAAAGCAGCTGTATGCTAGAAAATGATAAATAAGGGAAAATGTTAACACGCTGCTGTAGCAAAGGCTTTCTTTAGCCCTTCTTTTTATTTAATTTGGCAAGGTCAATATTGATCTGTTATTTCTCAATATTTTCTCTTGCTCCTAACTAAGATATGGTAAAAATCAGATATTGTACTGATTTTTTTTCGAAGTACCCAGAATCTGTAACTTTAATTATACTGCTACAGCCAATACCATGCAACCACCCACATGTGGACACAGCTATATGGCGATAAAAGAATCAAAAGGAATAAGTGATAGTGGCACACACGATCCTTATACCAGAATAACTGCCTGCAATAGCAGTTGTACTACTATTTCTACCTTAGTAAAATAGTTGCCTGCCGACGGACTAATATGGGGACAGGGAATTGCCCACACCTTGTTATTAAAAGAGATCTTTGCAGATCATTTTTCTTCATTATTTGAATTAATTGGTGCAATCTGTCCCATTGTTTCTACTTGATGAAGTTATCAGTTCCCATGCAAACGGCTCTCCCTCCATGCAGCCTGGAACACCAGAGACTGACAGATGTGGAGGCCCAGGGCACACAATGGGGGGCATTTATACTTATAGCATCAACAGACCAGAAGAAATAGCCCTTTGAACTGACTCTATTTATGGCCTGACTTCCTTGCCCTAAGCTCACAAATCGCTATCATCAACTTCTTTGATTAGAGAAAATAGCTGCTAATGAAAGTGTAAATGACACCGGGCGTGAATAAGGGCTTTATAGTTATTCCTAAGGAGGAGGTCTTCAGTCACTAGGCCCTGAGCAGCACAGGAGCAAGTTTGAGCAAGAGGAACAAGTGCATTATAGCTTGTCAATAGACTGGTCTGCATCTGATTAAAGATGCTCACACAAAGCGGGAGATGAAGAGTAGAGCAGACACATCTGTTAGGCTAAGCACAAGAAGCTCTTGGAAATGAAATTAGCTAAAGAAGAGCCTGGAATTCCCAGAAATCAGCATTTTGTGCCCGTGATAGTAATGAGGAGATTGTCCCAAACAGGAGGAGTTAAATGCCAGATCCTTCACACAGTCCCAGCTAAATCTGTAACCTCTCGCGTGTTCAACGGCTGCCGGCAGAACAGCTTCAGGTAAGGAAAGCAGACCGCGGTTCCAAGCAGCTCCTAGTTCAGATCCAGCTGCAGGCACCTGTTCTCTCCAGCAAGGCGCACCCGGGGAAATGTTAGGCACATGGCTCAGTGGTACTGAATGCGCCCCGTCAGCTTCTGCAACCTGAAATATGATTTACCGGCTGTGCCGTAACCAACTTGTCTATCTTCTTCACATCTAGTGGTGAGAGGATCCATCCGAAACGTGTCCCATGACCCTGAGAATCACATGTCACAGGTCGAAGTCGGCGTCCAAAAAGTCTACCGGCAGAAAAACAGAATCTTTCAGCAG